CCCCAAAACCCCAAAACCCCTATTGATAAAAATTTGGAATTTTGAGAGTAATGATTTTAATTGATCAAAATTGCTTTTTCAATAAAGTATCAGTAAATAATAACTTTGGATCCAATCTATACAGTTAATATTTAATGAAACAAATATTATTGCCGATTATTCTACTGGTTGGTTCAATCTACGGGTACATTGAGGACAGTATAAATCCAGCATTAAGCGATGAGACATCTCTCTTGCCTCCTCCTTAAAACATAAGCTATGGTACTCTCAGTGGATAGATCGATCCTTGCAATCTTAATTTCGACATTAATATGAGTGTAAAAGGTTCAAATCATCTCCAGGATCTACTTGCTTATTATAAGCCAAGACTCTTTCCGAACATATCATAAAATTGCAATATTAAAAAAAGATTGCTAAAAGCCTAGGTAAACACTATAAAATTTATCATAAACAATGATATAACTGAACTGATGACTAAAAGCTTAGAGGATATGGATGAATCCTATGAAATTTACGTAGATCAAGACTTAACTTAAATTCAAATTAAAGCAAATCAATATGTTGGTTATGTTAGAGGTTTAGCTACATTAAAGCAATTAATCAAGCCCTCTAAGAAGAACTAAGGCTTTTACGAGGTTAAATTCTTGCCTTTGATAATTAAAGATGCTCCTAGATTTCCCTATAGAGGATTTATGCTCGACACTGCAAGGCATTATCACTCAGTTAAGACTATTAAAGAAATAATCGATGTTCTGTCTTCAGCTAAATTTAGTGTGTTCCACTGGCATATTGTGGATGATGAGAGTTTCCCAATGGAATTAAAATCCTTCCCTAGTATTACTCTCAATGGAGCATTTTCAGCTGACAAGGTATACACTAGAGAAATGATGACAGATATTATTAACTACGGACTTAAGCTCGGAATAAGAGTTATCCCTGAGTTTGACAATCCAGGTCATACTAGATCAATCGGTTATGATCCAGAACTAGAGCCATTAATGAGATGTTGGAATACAAACTTCTCCTATTACTTGCCAGATGCTTATAGAATTAAAGGGGCAAGAACAGGTGTACTAGATCCATCTTATAGTTAATCTTATGAAGTAATTGAAGGAATCTTGAGAGATATCAATGACATTTTCCCAGATAATATGCTTATGCTTGGAGGTGATGAAGTCCTAACATATTGCTTTGATGAAAATCCAAAAATAAAAGATTTTATGAAAGAAAATGGAATTCTTACTTATTCAGATCTTTTCCAGTATCATATAGAGAAAGTTAAAAAAATAGTTGCAAATATAAATGCAAACAAAACCACACTTTACTGGTCAAATGAAGATACATTCTTCCTCGACTTTAAGCCAAATGACATTCTTCTTTATTGGGGCCAGTCTAGCAATATAGGTAATCTATCATAAATCTATCCAAACAACAAATTTGTTTTACTTCCTGGAGATCACTACTATCTTGATTGTGGAAGAGCCAACAAGTACGGAGGAACTACTTGGTGCGAACCTTTCAAGTCATGGTGGTCTATCTATCAATTCGAGCCGGAAGATTATCTCACTAAGGACCGAGTTTACGGAGGTGAAGTTGCTGCATGGAGTGAAAAGTTTAATGATTTGAACATACATTCTGCCATTTGGCCTAGAGCTTTAGCACTTGCAGACAAGCTTTGGGGTCAAAAGGTACCAACTGACCTTTAAAGACTAACAACAAGATTGCACTTATTCGAGAAGTAACTTGAAAGCTAAGGAATCCCTTTCACTCCAATCACTGATGGATACTGCGAGGCATCAAATATTTGCTTTGAAAGACGCGATCCATTGCTTTAAGTTGCTAATCCAATTCATGAAAATGTAGATAAATACAACTTTATCAAGTGAGGAATTATATCTATCCTAAATTTGAAATTTGTGCTTTTGAAGCTTAATATCTTATAATTTGAACTAACAACTGTAACATAAAATAACTGCAAGATGGGGTTTTGGGGTTTTGGGGTTTTGGGG